CATCTTGGTCCTTTCCAAATGCACCCAGCCCCAGTAGAGGTAGCCACAAGCTGTGGATCACTGATAGCTCCAAATAGGGTACCCACGGCCAGTCACAAACAGAGTCTGACATTGGCCCGCACCAGAGACCCTCCAAAAAGATTGGAAATCCTAGCAGATCTACCTAATACATAGAAACAAACCCAAACAGGCAGCCAAAATGGGGAGACAAAAAAAGTCCCAAATGAAAGAACAAGAGAATTCTCCAGAAAAAGAGCTAAATGAAATGGAGATAAGCAATCTATCAGAAATACAGTTCAGAATACTGATTGTCAGGATGCTCAACAGCATAAGAAAAGGCATGGAAACTATGAAAAATGACCAGTCAGAAATGAAAAATGACATAGCAATAACAAAGAACACATTGGAAGAGATAAACAGCAGATTAGTGGAAGGTGAGGATCAGATCAGTGAATTATAAAACAAAGTAGAAAAAAGCACTCAATTAGAGATCCAAAAAGAAAAAAACAATTAAAAAACAGGACAGTCTAAGGGAGCTTTGGGACAACATGAAACACAAAAATATTCACATCATAGGAATGCCAGAAGGCAAAGAAAGTGACCAAGTGATAGAGAACCTGTTTGAAGAAATAATGGCAGAAACCTTCCCTAACCTGGTCAAGGAAAAAGTTACACAAGTTCAGGAGGCACAGAGTCCCAAGCAAGAAGAACCCAAAGAGGCCCATGCCCAGACACATCACAATTAAAATGCCAAAAATTCAAGACAAAAAGAGACTCTTAAAGGCAGCAAGAGAAAAGCAATTTGTTACCTACAAAGGAACTCTCATAAGGCTGTCAGCTGATTTCTTATCAGAAACTCTACAGGCCAGAAGGGAATGGCATGAAGTAAGTATTCAAGGTAATGAAAAGCAAGGATCTGAAACCAAGATTACTCTATCCAGTAAGACTAGCATTCAAAACAGATGGTGAAATAAAGAGCTTCCCAGACAAAAAAGGGCTAAAGGAATTTATCACCACCAAACCAGCATTGCAAGAAATGTTAAAGGGACTGTTGTAATGAGAAGTAGAATGCTTGGTGGGACTCCTCTGTGGGGCTGTCTGGACCAGGGCTTTTGTTTGCTGGGAGTTCTTTTTATTGCTACTTCGATTTCATCAGTTGTTATTAGCCTGTTCAGGTTTTCTAATTCTTCCTGATTCAGTTTTATATGATCTCACTCATATGTGGAATCTAATGAACAAAATAAACTGATGAAAAAAACAGAACCAGAGACACAGAAGCATGGAATAGACTGACAAATCTCAGAGGGAAGGTGGGGGGGGGGAGAGATTAATCAAAGAACTTATATGCACATAAGCATA